GAATGCTTCCTACCACACGGGGGTTTCTATAGGCCATTGCTCCCCTTGCCTCTCTGAGGGGGCCAGGTTCTGGCCGTGGTCCCCGGTAGGCCCTAGAACTCCATACACATGACTGATGCCAAAGTCTGACATTAGCATGTCAGCCGGTAAAGCTCCGGGGAGCCTCCGGGTCTCACCCAGAAAATGGCGTTTCATTACATTCAACGCTGGTTTTTTCGTCCATTTTAATGTTTTCCGCACACACTCGATAGTGCCAATCATCATGTCAGCCTTATCAATGAAACGCATGTTGATATTGTAGTCAAGAACACAATCTGGCTTATATACTGGTTCTCTCATTACACGGTGCACCTTGCCACTGTTCAACATTGTACCCTCTTGAACGGTTGTCAGCAGGTTCACTTCTCTCTTGTCGTTCCATCGTACCGAGAGTATTTGATCACATTTCTGTACCTGGCACTCACCAACTGCAAATCCACTGCCAAACACTGGCATTTCCCTTCTCCGTGCCTTTACTGTGCCAACCAATCCGGTTCTATTTTCAATCAAGAACCTAGCTTGCAATGGACTTGTATAGTAATTATCTGTGTATAGGATGTGGCCCTTGTTCATCCATGGTGCCATCAGTGACTTCACTAAACTACCCGAGAAACCATGTTCGTCGTTACCGGGAATGTCTACATCGCTAACTGAATACAGAATCATGTGCAACACGTATCCTGTTTCACAGTCACACAGTACAAAGAATTTCAATCCAAATCTGTTTTGTTTGGAGGGAATATACTGCTTGAATGAAACACGTCCTTTGAAAAGTACAAGGGATTCGTCAATCACCAGCTTCTGTGCTGGTATGTAAAAATCTCTGAATTTTTCAATCACTTCATTCATATAGTGCCTCACTTGCCAAAGTCTATCATCCTCTGTCCGGTCCTCATTACTTGCAAAATGCAGACACCTGAGGAGTATCTGAAATCTGTCTCGGGACATATATTTCCCGAAGAAAGGTGTTGGAATAGTCAGATCTTTGCTCCAGTTGTCTGTGATAGCATGTTTTACACAGTGTTTCATCAACATACATATTGCTAAAAACACATACATTTCACCTACATTGGTGGTTTTCCAACGTTGCAATCATGAAAATTCTGTTATCTCTCTTCTAATGAGATGTGCCGCATGAAGGTTCGTTTGGTGTACAAATATATTCCATGAGCGGCTCATCATAGAATGCTGTAAAATAATCACATTCACTAATATCCTCTCCATTATCAGGGAAAAGCTCTGTAATCCCAACGTCTTTATTGTCAAGAGGCAGGAATTCGAGGAAAAAAACCAGTACCATCACTCCACACTAGTACACATGGTGTCCTGCGAGACGCAGGGGACGCAACAGGGGCACTACGGCGAGGAAGCGATGCACCCCGTGGACCAGGAGCTGAAGCCCGTCTACGCACAGTACGGCTGCTACGTGCACGTGAGGTAGAAGCACGTGAACATGAGGCTCTTAGTGCCTCATGTTGTTCCATGTGGTGGCGCTTGGCTGGGCGAGACGCTGTTGACGTGACAAAATCTCGCCCAGTAACACCACTGGTACTGGCACCACGCTCTGTAACACTATGTTCTGATTCCACTTCACTAAAACCAGAAAAAGAGTCACCTTCCTCTGACTCGTCACCGAAAATATCCTCAGACTCTAAATAAGCACAGGAACTGTGTGGTCGAGGGCGAATTGGAGTAGGCACTTGGCGAGGTGGCATGGGTGAGCGTATAGGCCTCGCCATGGGAGGCGGCTGTATCTCATTTTCACTGTCCGTGCTATCATCATCTGTCAATTGTGTGTAGTCTTTATCAATGTCTTTATCTTTTAAAGGGAGCCGGTCGGCCGAGCGGACAGCACGCTGGATTTGTGATCCTGTGGTCCTGGGTTCGATCCAAGGCGCCGGCGAGAAACAATGGTTAGAGTTTCTTTCACCCTATGCCCCTGTTACCTAGCAGTAAAATAGGTACCTGGCGTGTTAGTCAGCTGTCACAGGCTGCTTCCTGGGGGTGGAGGCTTGGTCGAGGACCGGGCCGCGGGGACACTAAAGCCCCGAAATCATCTCAAGAAGAAGATAAGATGTCAGAGTCATCAAAGTCACTTTCCTCACCATCGGAAAATAATTCACTGGTTATTTGCTCTTGGGTGAGTGATTGTGTGGTGTGTGCCCTGGAAGCATTTGGCTGTGCGCTCAACATGGTGGCTGCTGGGTAACTGAGGCCTCCCACACGATAGTAGCATGGGCTGGATTTTTTTTCAAAATGGCGGCTGTTTACTATAGCCCCTGGGCAGCGTATGGAGACCCCCTATACCCCGCGGGCCTTTCAAATCTTGCGCGGTACTCCAAAGCATCATATATGCCTTGCGCAATTTACTGCAAGTCACTCAAAGCATCATATGATGTCTTGCACAACTAAAGGGTTAATTAATCCCTCACGGATCCCCACCATGGGATCGGAAATGACATGATCATTCCTGGTTGACATGTGTATTTGAAGGATTAAGACTGGTGATGTGATCATCCTGCTGACGTAGGTTGTGACATCACTGAAATGTCACCAATTTCTGTTGACCATAAGCGGGTTACCTGACATTAACCTTCTCACCTCTACTTCTAGCTTCTTAGGATGACTACCTTTCCTGATGCTTCTCTACTCATAATGTTTCATTATGTCTTTGGATAATCTCTTAATGGTTACGTAAAGGCAATTATGTAATAATCATTCTAATAGTGGCTTGACCTTCACAAAAATACCAGTCATGCTTGATCTTCTCCCATTATTATTTTATAGATTCTAGGACATTATTCACTCTAGGTGGTTTGTGGTCAAGAATGGACACACACTGTATGAACTCAACTTGCCACATTAAACAGCTGCAGAAATCTACTTCCTCACAGGAGCTATACTTTAACACACTAAATACAGATGGCCGAGGTTGGGAATAGCTGCATATAGGTCATTAAATTGATTGGGTACTGACTACATACATTACCCAGTTTCATGGAGTGGAGAGGCATCGGCCTTCTGGTAAACCTTCCACACACATTTCATGCCATTTTATCCACATTATCTTGACATTTTTGTTATTCGTCAGCACCTTCAACTCCCCAACACATCGAGTTTCTAAACTAACGTACTTGCCTCTTCCATAGCTATATCAGTTGTCATATGATCTTGCACTCTTCTCACACCATCATTACTTTTATCACTTTCATCTTTCAGACTTTCAAAGTATTTGCTTGCTTGTAATCTCCTCACCATAATTCCAGGTCTGTCTTTAACACTCCCATTTGCGTGTCCACCAGGGTCTCTGTTGGACTTCTTTCCATAAGAGCTTTTGAATTTCTACATAATTTTCTTAAATTTTTATGCCATTCTCCTCATTCCTGCTATTTAGGAGTTAACTAATCTTTTTATATACCTTTTGCTATCATCATACTTTCCATTTTCTTGCTGCTCTTATATAAAGTTAATGAGGAATACTCACCATGCTGTATTACCAATGTAAATATGGGCATGGATGCTTTGTATTAGTGATCAAAGTCAACTTAGTTTTATCTCTACAGACCTTCCTCTTTTAGTACTGTACTGTCCGGTTATCTCGCTTACAGGATTCTCTTTCTGTTTGTATTTCTAATGTTTCTCCTCATGTTGTTCCTTCTTTGCCCCAGGTTGAGTTCCCCTTCCGCAGTTTTGTACATCCTTGACCCGCATCACTACAGCTTTTACCCCTCCTACGGTTCTAAAACGCCTTTTCCTTAAGCACTCTTCTTCTCACTCCCGCTCCGTTTCTGTCTTCACCGATGGGTCTAAGTCTGCGGACGGTGTTGGCTACTCTGTTGTTTTTCCTGATCGCACTTATATGTGTCGCTTACCTCCGGGGACTAGCATCTTCACGGTGGAGCTTTATGCTATTCTCTATGCTCTTCGTCTCCTGCTTTCTCGTTGTCAGTCTTCCTTTGTAGTTGTTGTTAACTTGTAGTGCCCTCATGGCTCTCGGGTCCTTTAATCCGGTTCATCCAGTAGTTGTCGAGATCGAGCATTGGCCGTTTCTTGTTCACAGTAAATTTAAGTCAGTTGAGTTTTGATGGGTTCCCAGCCATATTGGTGTGTCTTTAAATGAGCGTGCGGGTGCTGCCGCCAAGGAAGCTGTCCGCTCTTGTCCCATCTCTCGTAAAGGTATTCCATATTCCAACTTTACCCGGTTATACCCGGTTATCCATTCCTCCATCCTTACCCGTTGGCAGGCTTCTTGGTCGTCTGTTACTGGTAACAAACTACATACTCTTAAATGTTGTGTTTCCTCGTGGCCGTCCTCCTACCACCGTAACCGGCGATGGGAAACGGCTCTGGCGAGGTTGCGTATTGGCCATACTCGCTTAACCCATGGTCACTTGATGGAGCGCCACCCTGCTCCTTATTGTCCTAATTGCATTGTCCCTCTTACGGTTGTGCATGTCCTTCTTGAGTGTCCCAACTTCCAGGATGAGCGTGTGTCTTGCTTTCCGACCGCCCCTCGCGGTCACCTGTCCCTCAATAGAATTCTTGGTGACTCGGGTACTTTTGATATCGTTCACCTTGTGCGTTTTTGTTCTCGTATTGGCATCCTTGGTGATATTTAGCGCCCTTTGATTATTCCGCACATTTGATGGTGCTACATAGCCTTCACAGTTTGGTGCCTTCTTTTGATAATTACTTACTTACTTTTAGTACTGTAATGTATGGTCTTTCTTTGCTCTTTACAGTCATCAGCACCCACCTCAACCAAGGAATGTACTCATTCTTTCACATGTCCTACACAAATTTTTAAATATACCTGGGGGGATACATTGAATAAACAGGATTGATTTCTATTAAAGCTCAAATTATATTGTTTCTTATTGCATACAATAATATTTACAGTTATCAAAATTCAAGTTAACATAGGCAAACTCTTTTTCTTAACCCTTCTCATTTTACTGCAGCGGAATCATTTGTCGGCAAAGGAATGGTAATTAAAGGTATACGCCGACATGCACGACGCAGATTTGGAAAAGTAGAATACAAGTATTGTCACTACTTTGTGACATTAGAAGAAGGCGACCCACCAGAACATTATTACCCATTCCGGAGACCTCTGACACCTCAGGAAATGCTGCAGGAATGGATGGAGAATCAACGACGTCGTACTATAGTCAATTCTCTGTAATTCTGCTATTTTATAAAAGTACTGTACATTATTATATGCTGAAGTTAGATTTAATCATTTGTCATGTAATAAAACAATTTCCATTGAACTACATCATAAACAGCCGAGTTGGGTTGTATGCGGTACACATGGGCCAGAATTCGTCAAGCAGTTACACGTCTACTTGTGAAGCCTGTACAACTTTTCCCAAATATAATGGCTTAGTTTGCATTTATGAAATGGTTCGAGCTCTGAAGGTTGTCTATAACAACAATTACCTTGGGGTGTGAAGTTTCAAAGCTCATAAACTACTTACTGTAATTACAGACAAAGCTGCCATGATGAAGGAAGGGAGAGAGGGAATTATCAGGGGGAATGCACCAAGCCATTAAGACTGTACAGTATAGCACTTGGAAGGGGTCAGGATAAGGGATGGGGGGTGAGGAATGGTGCCCAACCCCTTGGACAGTTGGGGATCGAACGCCGACCCGCATGTAGCGAGACTGTCGCTCTAATGTCCAGTCCAAGTGATTGGGCGGATGTACAGGTTTTGCATGTGGAGGCACACACTTGCTTGATGAATCCTGTGCCCTTTGTGTGAATTTGAGGGAATGCAGCTTTAATGCAGTTTGGCCATTAAGAAAAGACACCCTTGACAACATTTTGTTACACTAGGATTTGGTTTTAAGAAATTTATACAATATGCATTAGTAACAATAAATGCATCCGAATTTAGATTACTGAAAGGCATTCACTAGTGTTTATGTAGTGTATTTGTTAATAAACAGTTTTGTTTGTATAAAGTTTTGAATTGTTTGTGCCTCCAAGTATGAAATAGGTCTTTGGAAGTACAGATGTATTTTTTTTTTTTTTTTTTTTTTTTACATTGTTTGATTCAGGTATGCTCGATTTTGTTGTCAAGTTCATCTTTGGTTACAGGCCATTGATTACACAGGTGAAAGGTTAATTTGCAAAAAAAGCCTCCAGATTTTTAGCCTCTGCCATTGCATTGCTCTTCAACAAATCACTTGAACTCCAAACCTTTCCGGATATTCTAAAAAAAGCGAGAGTAACCCCAGTCCACAAATGTGGTGATCCCACTGATGTCAACAATTACAGATCTATATCAATTCTGCCAACCTTGTCAAAAATATTTGAAGAGCTAATTTACAAGCAGTTTTTCTCATATCTAGCCAAACTCAATATTCTTAGCTCTTGCCAATATGGTTTTAGACCCAATAAAAGCACTAACGATGCACTTATTAGTATGATTAACTTGATACATACAGCTCTTGATAAAAATGAGTTCCCTGTTGGGTTATTTGTGGACCTACGTAAGGATTTTGACACTGTCGCCCACCAAAACCTTCTTAAATTACATCATTATGGAGTCAGAGGTCACTCCCTGCAATACGTTTAGTCCTACCTTACTGACAGGCTTCAGTATGTTTCTGGGAAAAATTCCATTTCTCTTACACTACCCATAAACATTGGCGCTCTGCTGGGCAGCATACTTGGCCCTCTCCTCTTTCTCATCTACACTAATGACCTTCCAAATACTTCTCAACACCTCAAACCAATCTTATTTGCTGATGACACAACTTTCATTTTCTCCAGTTCTGACCCTCTTGCTCTAAATGTCACTGTGAATACTGAACTAAATAAAGTCCATCTTTGGCTAACTGCTAACAAACTCACCCTTAGCATTGACAAAACTTCCTATATTTTGTTTGGTAATAAATCCTCAAATGAAATTAATCTAAGAATAAACAATATACAAATCGGTAGTAAAGTTGATGGTAGATTCCTTGGGGTCCTCATCGACCACAAGCTGAATTTCCAGGGATACATTCTAAATACAGTATAGCAAAAAAAGTTTCTAAAACTGTTGGCATTCTTTCTAAGATCAGATGTTATGTACCTCGCCCTGCCCTGGTGATGCTCTATTACTTACTCATATCCTTATCTCAGCTATGGTATTTGTGCTTGGGGTTCTACTACCCAAGATCATTTACGTCCACTAATTACCCAATGCAAAGCTGCTATTAGAACAATATCTAACTCTGGCCCCCAGACAGCACTCAGTACCCTTACTTAAATCTCCAAGTATGTTAAAAAAAAAAATTCAAAATTCAAATGTTTATTCAGGTAAAGTACATACATACAAGAGGTGATACAAAAATTTATAGATTTATAGACAGAGCTAGTACTGTACATACAATGCCTAAAGCCACTATTACGCAAAGTGTTTCGGGCAGGAAAAACATTAAAGACTAAAACTTAATACTAATTGAGATTAAAGTATAAGATGTGTTGAGAGAAAATAAATTTAAAAAAGGGGGGAATATGGCAGAAAAACGGCAAAATACTATTAGGTCGACAAACAGCATTGTTTAAAAATAACAGACATGGGTTGACAATATAGGGTTAAGGTAGGTTACAGGGAATTTATTAGGTAGTGCTTAGTTTTTTTTTTTTTTATAGATATATACAAGAGTTGTTACATTCATGTACAGCCACTAGTACGCGTAGCGTTTCGGGCAGGTCCCTGGAATACGATCCCCGCCGCGAAGAATCGCTTTTACAACCAAGTACTCATTTTAATGTTGAGTTAAACAGAGGCTACAGTTAAGGATTTGTGCCCAGTAAATCCTCCCCGGCCAGGATACGAACCCATGACAAAGCGCTCGCGGAACGCCTGGCGAGTGTCTTACCACTACACCACGGAGACTGGTTATATTTCTGGGGGGAGCCCCTGCGGCTCCCCGGAGCTATCCATGGCTGATGTGCATATCCTAACTATTTTGCATCAGTCGATGTGGGTAGAGTTCTAGGCCTACCGGGGACCGAGCCAGAACGTGGCCCCCCTCAGAGAGGCACGGGGAGCAATGGCCCATAGAATGCACATGTGATTTGGAGCATTCCATATCTACCATCGACCGGGACAGGTACCCAGAAAGGTAAGCACCCCAAAACACCCCTATTCTGGTTAACAATAAAATTGACAAACGAGGGGACAGAACTCCCCCAAAAGAAAAACAAGTAAACTAGCATGACGTCACACGAGCCGCGCTGCATGTCTGCGCAGCTCCCCCCTCCCCGGGAGGGGGAAGGGTAAGCCCCAGACCCCCGAGCCGGCGATCCACACCCCAGTTCCTTGGCTGATGGGATCGTGCATGGTCGTGTGGCTCCAGCTCCAATCTTGTTTCAGTGCTGTGACTTGTTTTCAGTGCTGCTCTTACGGTGGTCGTGTGAGCTGGGAGTAGTATTCTCAGGTACTCGGGCTGCATGTGCTTAGGGTCACCTTCCCTGAGTGCCCTGTAAGTACCGCCCTTGGGGCTTGGGGTTGCCTTCCACAAGTCACCTTGGGTCTACCTCTGTTGGCTTTTCGCTGCTTGGCGTTTGGCCGCCCTGAGTGTTGGGGTTTTCCTTCCTTGTTTACCTTGGGGTAAGTGGTAGTCATTGCACTGGTGGGGCGCAGGGTACTGCGTAGCTAGTTTTCACCTCTAACGGCGGCCGGCTCTGTTCCCTCTGGGTACGTTGTCCACTTGGGTGGTTTTTCTTTTCTTTTTGTGTTTGCCTGGTGGGTGGGGGGGTCTGCCTTGTTTTTTCCCTCCCTTTATATTAGGGTCGTTTGTGTGGTGGCACCCCCTGCTTCGCCCTCGCAAGTGGACACGTCCCGTGGATTTAGCTTTTAGCAGATTGCTTGGTAGTTTGGGGCGCCGGTTAGCAGTGCCCTGCCTGGGATAACCCTTAGCAGACCCAGTCTAGGGGCCCTGGGAAACCCCGCGGGGGCTCTTGGGTCCGATGGAGGAGACCCTTGCAATCCCTCTCGCTGTGTGCGAGTTTGAGGGTTGCTCTGTCCCTTTGTCTCAGGGGTGACTCATTGTTTTTGCCTCCGTCATGCTGCCTGTTGGGTCGGTGACACATTCGACCCCGAATCCTGCGAGCTGTGTTGCTTGTTTGTGACTCAATTCACCCAGTCTTCTGATGAGTTACTTCGGGTGCAGGCAGCTCGTGCGTTGCATGGTAGGTTTAGGTTGTTGCAACGCGCGCGGGTTCTTGCTTCCCTGGACGCCCAGCGGCTGCCCTGCTTTGTGTATAGCGACCCAGACTTGGGGGTGTTGGTCGTTTCGGCTTTGGTTCCGTCCGCGCCCCCTTGTTCTTCCCCTTCCGTGGTTCATTCGGTCCCCCCCCCCCCCCTGCTTCCGGCCCTTAAGCGTCTGAGGGCTTCGGGGTCGGGGTGGGGTTTAGCGGTTTCTGAGACTCGGGCAGTTTTGGGGGTTGCACCGTCCGGGGGGGCTACGGAGGCATTTGAGTCTGTTCCTCCGGGCGATGCTCCGGGGTCTGACTAGTGGGGCCCCTTCTCTTCCGGAGCTTTCGGCTGCCCCGGATTTTTCTTTGAGGCCGGGACTTTGGAGGACGGCTCGGCCCCGGAGCCTGGTGTGGAGGCTCCTGGGGTTGGGGAGGAGCTGACTTGGGGGGCCTTGGGCTCCATTGGACCCTGCCTGGATTTTCCGAACTTCTGAGTGGGGCTTACTGTTGCAAGGAGTGGGGTTTTCCTTTCCCCCCTCTGCGTACAATTTGGACTTGAGTTCTGCTCTTCCCCGGGTTCGGTTCCGTGTCCCTGTGGGTCCTTTGGTTCCGTCTTTTCGGAGGTTTTCGGCTTCCCGCATCTCTCCGTCTGAGGTGAGGTCGGCCTTGGCGGCTTCCCTCCTGCGTGACCCGGAGTACGCCTCCATAATGGATCCTTCTTCCTTCAGGTTTGGATCTTCATGTCCTTACTGGGTTCTTTATGAGGTTCCGGGGTCGTCCTGGCTTGCAGACTGCCCCTTGTTTTCGCTGGATGCTTGGGACTCGTTCTGTTGAACCCGCACATTTGAGTGGCGTGAGGCGTTGACGGTGGTCCAGTTTACCTGGGGGGCGATTTTGAGCACCTTAATGAGTGTCTTTTTGCTCCTGCCCTTCTGCGGGACGTTGGTGCGGTGCAGCTCCATGTGCAGGTTCCTTCCCTGTCAGCTGCTCTTGTGGCGGAGGATTTGTGCGCTCGTGGCTTTTTGGCTTCGGTCCTGCGTGTCTTTTCCCTCTTGGAGCTATCTTCTGTTTGGATTGCGGAGGATGTTGAGGCGCTTGGGGCCGTTATGGGGTCTGACGCCTTGGTCTCCGCTGCTCGGGTGTCGTCTGCCATTTTGAAGTTCTTTGCGCCTATCCTGCGGGAGGCGTTGCTGAGGTTTTTCGCTGTGCGCTTCGCGTGTCGTCAGGCGGTCCTGGCTTCCTCTTTGGAATCCGCTTGGGCCCTGGTTCTTAGGTTGTCTTCTCCCTTTTGTCCTCTGCTTTTTGAGGCTTCTGCGGTAGAACGTTATATTCAGGCGGCTTCTTCCTCTTGCCGCCCTATGTCTGAGTTGTTGGTTCTCCGGGGGAACCGGGGGGTTCCTTCCCGGCGGGGTCGTACCAGGGCGCGCGGTTCCGTTCGTCGGGGTGGGCCACAGGTGTCGGGTTGTGCCAGTGCCGCCTGCAGTCCCACCTGTGCTTGGTCAGCGCGGTGTTCGCTCTGCGCGCAGGTCGGGTTCTCGTAAAGGGCAGCGACCCTTTCGCGGTTCGCCCCTTTGACGGGGCGATGGGGGGGAGGCTGTCTCTGTTCCCTCACGCCTGGTCTCACCATTTGTGGGCTTTTCGGGCCGTTTCGCGCAGCCTGAGGTGGCGTTCTGGGGGTTCGGGGCTGACGGGGCAGGCTTCCTCTCCTGCGCTCCGTCAGGTCATCTTGGAGTGGGTACGCTTGGGCGTGGTCGAAACGACTCCGTCCCTCAGGTGGGTTTCCCGCCTGTTTCCAGTTCCGAAACGGGACTGTGCGGACCTGCGGTTCATTCTGGACTTGTCCCGTCTGAACCCTTGGGTTTCTTGCCCCTCGTTTCGGATGACCACTCTGTCCCAGGTACGGCTTCTGTTGGAGCCAGGCGCTTGGATGGTGTCCCTGGACCTCAAGGACATGTATTGGCACGTCCCTATTCATGTGGGGTTCCGGGACTGGCTCGGTTTTGTGGTGGGGCGTCAGTGTTACCACTTTCGTTGTCTCCCCTTCGGGTTGAACCTGGCACCTCGCATGTTCACACGCCTTACCCGGGTCGTGGTGGCCCGTGTGCGTCTCTTAGGTGTTTGGATGTTGGCTTACCTCGACGACTGGCTGGTTTGGGCTCCCAGTTGGTCCGCGTGTCTGCTTGCCAGGTATTTGGTGCTTTCCCAGCTCACCGTGTTCGAGTT